CTTCGCCAAAGAGTAGTAGCTACAAGAGCCGCTTCTCTGAATCCACCATTTTTAAGTCCAAAACCTGGTTAAAAAAATTTAAATTTAAATTAACAAAAACAAAAAAAAAAATTTAAATTAAAAAACTTACCGATATGTTATATTTCAATTAATCGGATAATAGTTACTTTTCTAGTCCAATCGTGAATGTCGTCAGAAGTAAATTTTGTTTTTTTTTGTAGAGGAAATAACAAAAAGTTCGAAGACAAAAAAAGAGGGTCTAAAGCCGAAAAAAAGGGATAGTTTGATTAACTGTCCCCCGTTTGTTCGCCTCACGTTGGAACGTTTCATGCAACATCACGTGAGTTCATCAACTTAGTCAATTCTCACGTTGGTCCCTCAGAATAATTACAATAAAAATTTGTTTAATTAACCTCAATCAAATAATTTGTTGTAATTTTATTAAATTTATTGTATTGTATAAAGTTCTTGATATAAAACATGCCTGGTGGGTGAAAGTTCCTGAACAGGGACTATTTTTTATATTTACATATACTGGGAACTATAGGTGCAGACATTTTGAGGTAACAGAATTGCGACTTTCACTACTAAAATTGCAACTTTTGTAGTATTGACGTAGGTCGTAATTTAAGTAGCAAGTATTATAATATGTTATAGGCCGTAATAATGTAGTAAGTATTATATATGTCATATGCCGTAATATAAGTAGCGATACAAGTAATGAATAGTATAGTATGTTATAATGTATATGTAATTATTATGTTATTATGTTGTAATATAGCATATTTATTGAATAATTAATCGCGACAAAAATAATTAAATAAATAAAAAATCAAAAAATACCTTTTTTTACCTTCAACGATGGCAAGTTCAAGTCGTGAAAGTACAACTATTTCGGATAATATTAGCTCTACTTCAACATCCTTAACCAAAAAGCGAAAAACTAGCGGACCAAATTTTGATGAAATTTGGTCCTATTATATACAGGGAGATAGTAGTGGCAATGGTCACTATAAAGCAACATGTTACTATTGTAACGAAAGCTGGAAACGTGGAAAACCTCAAGCTATGAAAGCGCATTTAGCTAATCAGTGTAATTCTTGTCCTGAAGATATTAGTGCACATTGGCGTAAGAAATTAGCAGAGGAAATTAATAAATATACTCGTAAATCAGCACCCGTGTCTACAAATATTCACAAACCTTTACAAAATGATCCTCTTCCTTATGAAATAAATAATCATCTTGATCAATCGTTGCTAAAAGCCTGGATTATGACAGGAATCCCTTTTGAAATTATTGAAAATCCATTCATGAGGGATTTTATTAAAAAATTAAATCCACAATATATCCCACCTTCAAGGACAACTCTTTCGGGACGTCTTTTAGATGCTGAAGTAGCTCGAGTAACCACTGCGGTTTATAATGAACTTGAACACTGTGAAAATCTTACCTTAAGTATATAAATTTTATTACTAATTATGTAAAACAATGCATCTGTATATCTACATTATTATACAAATATAGTAATCAGTATTGTTTACGTCTTTGCTTTAAAAAATACAGTTTTAATTTTAATTTTTATTTTTTTTTTTAAGTGTTAGACGGTTGGTCATCTTCACGAATGGATTCATTTTACAATTACATTGTAACAACAATGGATCGAAAGGAATATCTACTTGCATTGGGAATTATTCATCAGAAGTACACACGGGTGAATTTTTAACTAAGGAAATTTCCAATTTGGTTGAGGATATAGGAAGTAAAAAATTTGCGGCTATAGTTACAGATGCTGCGTCGAATTGTAGATATGCTCGTCGAAAAATTCAAGAGTCCTATTCTTATATATGGGAAATTCGATGTGCAGCGCATATAATTAATTTAATTGCATCTGATTTAGTTAAATAAAAGATATTAAAAATCTAATTCACAAATGCAATAAAATTGTATCCTTTTTTAAAGAATCTCACCGGGGAAACTTATACTTGCGACAAGGCTTGATTGAAATGAAAATTTGACTAGAAGGGCTTCATTCATGGTGCAAGACACGTTGGGCCTCACTATTTTTTACTACAGATTCAATTTTACGTGCACGACCAGTATTTGATTGGGTTATTATAATTTTTTTTTATTTTTATTTTTTAATTATTATTTACTGTATTTGCGCGAAATAACGCATATGTGCATTATTTCAAATTTTGTTCTAAATTAAGCTTAATTTAGGCCAAAATTCGAAATAATGCGCATGTGTGTTATTTCGCGCAAATATGGCAGGGCTTCGAATCATCAAAACTTATTTAGCAGCTAATTGCATTGATAATCTGTAAGTTATATGATTAATAATTGTTTAACGATTTATTAATTGTTTGATTATTTATTAATCATTTAACCGTTTATCTATTTAACTACTTATTGGTCATTTGAATATTTGCTATTTAACCGTTTATGTTCATTGCATTATATTAATTATCTAGTGTTTTTAAACCAATTTTTTCTTTGAGCCAACACGAAACTTTCACAAATTATTATATGATAGGCAGTTAAATAATTAACGATTCCAATCCCTATTAATTGTGACAACACCAGGGCGGCCCCTCCGAAGTTCGGATTTGATGATCATTGTCCATATAATTAGTAAACGATTTTTAATGGCTGTTCTGTGTAAACAAGCTGCAGATTGGCCTACATTATGTAATACATAATATAATTTGGCCAGAATTATATACTACGGCAATGATATTGATTATCAACCCGAACTTCGGAAGGGCCACCCTGGTGTCGTTATTAATTGTTCTTATTATTTCTTTTTATTTTTATTTATTATTATTTATTTTTATTTTTTTTTTAATTTATATTTTTAATAGATATTGACAGAACATCGCGATATTATATCAAGCATAGAAGTTTTTACTCTACTAAATGATGATGATTTTTTTATGGCTTGTCGGCAAATTAGATCCATTTGGACACCAATAAAGAAAGTTATTGATATACTCGAAGCAAATACAGCTAATTTAGCTGATTGCTTTAATTACTTAGTTAAAATTGCCGTAATGATTTATTGAATTTCCTCAATTAACCCATTCAAACAAGCAGCAATTAACGTGTTTAACAAATGGTTTAAAGAATTTCAGCATTCTATTTACCTTTTGTCATATTTTGTACACCCTCATTACCATGGTATTTAAATACTTACTATTTAATTATTTAATAATTAATTTAATTATTTAATTACTTAATTTATAATTTATTATTTTTTTTAACCAGGTTTTGGACTTAAAAATGGTGGATTCAGAGAAGCGGCTCTTGTAGCTACTACTCTTTGGCGAAG